TTCAGTAACCAACTACCATATAACTAACTAAAAAGAAATTAAGCAAATAAGGCTTGTGGGGAAAAAGGAAGGAAAGTGAAGTTGAGGATTAACAGATCAGCCGTGATCTTACTGACTGGCACAGCAGACTTGAAGGGCCGAATGACCTACTTCTGCTCCTATATCTTGTAGTCTTAACATGTTCCCATGAACTGCTCTCTTCTGAACTGAACTCTGTTCTCTACTCTGAAGTTCAAAACAAAGCTAATTGCTTAAAAGTGTTTACTCTGCCTCTCAAACCCGTACGTCTTCTTGGAACTGGTACACTTAGGCCACTGTCCAAATGACTTTCTGACAGGTTTTAAAAAGAATTTCACAGAACTGACCAAAATTTACTTGAGCCCATTTTTAAAACAATCTGAGTTCCAAGAAATCACAATATGTATTGCATAAGAACTAAGAGCAAAAGTAGGCAATTCAGCTCAAGCCCACGCCGCCGTTTAATACAATCATGGCTGATCACATTTTGGCCTCAACTTTATTTTCCCCACTACTGACCATTACCCTTCAACCCATTACTAATTAAAAATATATGTCACCACCTTAAAATTTCCTCAATGTCTCAGTATGCACTGCACTCTCATGTAATGTATTCCAGATTCACGATCCTATGAGAGAAATAATTTCTTCTCATCTGTTTTAAAGCTGATACTCCTTATTCTAAAACTATGACCTCTTGTTCCAAATTGCCCTACATGAGGAAACATCTGTTCTATGTCTGCTTTGTCAATCCTCTTTAGCATCTTTTTTACCACAATTTTATCTCCTCTCATTCTCCAAAACTCCTAAGAATATAGGCCTAAACTGCTCAATCTATCTTCATAAATCAGATGTCTCATCTCTGGAATCAATCTAGTGAACCTCCTCCAATGTAACTACACCCCTCCTCAAATATGGGGACCAAAATTGTACACGATACTCCAGGTGCAATCTCACTAATGCTTGGTACGGTTGTAGCAACATGTTAATGTTTATACACTACTCCTTTAGCAATAAATGTCTAAATTCCATTTGGTTTCCTTATTGCCTGCTGTATGTTCATACCTGCTTTCTGCGATTCATGCACTAGATCACCCAGATCCTTCTGCATCAAAGCATGCTGGCGTTTCTCTCCATTTAGATGATAAGTTGCCTTTCTAGTCCTCTGACCAAAATGGATAACCTTACACTTATCCATGTTAACCTTCATCTGTTAAATTTTGGTGTATTTACCTAACCTATCCACATCCATAAGGAAATGTCTTATTTCTTCATTAGACACCATTACATTACACACAATCCATCAGAGTAAAAATGCCCAAAGATGTTATTTTGGCTCTGGAAGGAAACTATATGGTAAATATCTTGTTGGGTTTCTTGACTTTGGTACCCATGTCTTACCTTCAAAAACTACTTGTTTTATGGAAATAAAAGCCTGAGTTCCATCACAGTAACACTGTAGTGAAGCTGCAATGTCAGAAAGTGATGCAGCCTGTTTCCTTGTGTAAAATCTTAATGCTCAAATATACATTTTCACGTGCACTGCTTGGTTTTGGCCTCTGCCCCAGCATCATCCTTCAGCTAAGAAAGCAACCCAGAGACCTATTCCAAACATGTTTAAAAAGCAATGTCACCTTGAATAAAACAAAGAACTGCAGAAGCTGAAATCCAAACAAAAACAGAAACTGCTGGAGAAACTCAGCATGTCCGGTAACAGAGACAAAGTAGAGTTAGAGTTAATATTTCAGTCCAGTGTTCTGAAGAAGGGTCACCGAACCCAAAACATGAACTCGGATTTCTCTGCACAGATGCTGCCTGACCTTCCATGTTTATCTAGCAATTTCTGTTTTTGCCATACTTGATTACTTTACGAAGAGATGTGCAAAGGTCAATCGAATAGGACTTCCATCCTATTTTGCTCTCCCCTCCCATGTCTAACGAAGCAGAACATCTCTGAAAGAAGATGTATTACAGACTGCAAAATAACAGAAAGAAGAATCAGTGCCACAATAATATGAAGAGTAGCACCAGAGGTCCAAGATGATGGCGGAGAAGTGACATGGTGTCCAAGCTCCTGGCCTGGGGCTCGTCTGCTTCCATCTGTTTTCTTTGTTTCTTTTTACTTTTGCTCTTTGGAGGCCTTTTCGACATCTTAGCAGGGCAAGAGTGGACTTGGCCTCTCAAACATGTGCGGCAGGAGTTGGCTTCTCGGAGAGAGCAAGCCAGGGCTGAGGAGAGTGAGCCCTTGGAAAGCTTGTAACAGCAGTGACTATAGGCCCAGCAGAAAGAGACAGAGCATTGTAGCTTCGACGTTGGTGGGCGAAGCGCAGGACTCAAGGCGGTGGCGATGGCATCAGTTTTCAAGATGGCAACGGCAGTGATGGCAGGGCAGCCTCTGCAGTCAGCGGAGAAGGCAGCATCTGCACTCGGTGAGCGATGCGGTACGCCCAAAGCAGTACTCCTGGCTGATTGACGGAAGCAGTGCTTGCTTCAGTGGCTGTGTGGTAGGTCCAGTGTGGTGCTCCTAGTGGCACAGCAGTGGCAGTGGTCGTGGCCCTGGAGCGGGACTCTTGGAACGGACTGTGATAGGGGGGCATTGCTGGGCATGCAGCCCATTGTGGAGACAACCCCCAAAGTCGAGCGGAGCACAAGAACGGAGAAAGAAGTCTGTTTTCAGTTATATCTTAATATTTTCTGCAAGTCAAAATGGCGCCAGAGCATGGCGACATATTACACTCTTCACTATTTATTTGTTAAATGCAAGTGACAATAAACCATTCAATTCAATTAAAGAATTGTCAACATTTAAAATAGAATGTACTGAAGTACTAAGGAATCACTTCACTGCTACCAATGTACATCACAATGCAATTGTAAAGCAAAAGATTGGGGGAGAAATAAAAATGCACAAAATTTAGATGTAGATATTTTGAAAGGAATAGGACAAAAAGCTATTACCTAGTATAAGATGAAGCTTGGTGTCCGTTTGGAAAGCATAGTGCAACGTGACCAGAAAAGGAGACTGTCGAATATGTTCTAACACTTGCCGTTCTGTCTTGATGTGCTCAGTTGTTTTTGCTTTTTGTACAATGGAAGCCTTCTTAAGCACTTTCATTGCATAGAGTTTGTTTGCATCATGGCCACTAATTTTTCTAACCAGGAAAACTTTCCCATATGCTGTGAAAGTATAGTAAAACACAAGAATAAACAAGTTATTAATTGTAAAGCATCACTATTTTCTCCTAATAGTTGTTTAAAAATCCTAAATAGCAATCATTATAAAGTAAGATTTTGTGCCAGTCTTTACAAAAACATAATAGATAGGTAAGAATTTATCATAGATCACAAAGTCATAGAGCTTGTTAGGTCTTTAGTACGCTGCACCAAACTAGATTGGTCACTGTCACTCTTGAATTTGTAAAATGGCCTAAGGGAAATGCGCTTTTATTCTTCCTTCCTTGTACATTTTGGAAAAGCATTCAGCTTTCATACTCCATCTACACCAGTGCAAACATCAGAAACACAAAATACAAAGGGCTACTACCAAGAATTGACATCCAATCTACTCTGCAACACCGTATGTTTAGAACAGTAATGTTGTACTGTTAGGGTGCAAACATTTATTTTATTACAGATATTCAATGTTAAATTTTTGTGCAAAAATATATGTTTTGCCTCATTAATAGATTCATTGTAATATGTAGTTACTGTATTCAGTTTATACAGTTAATTTGAGAAATCTTGTGGCGCAATGGTAGTCTACCTTTTGGCCAGAAGACATGAGTTCAATCTCTATCTGCACTGGAGAATGTCATAACATTCCTGAATAGGTCAATTAAAAATATTTTTTAGGGCTCTTGTGGTGCAGTGGTGCTATTCCTAGCTCTGGGACAGGCCAGAGTTCAGGTCCTAACTGCTCCAGTGGTGTGTCATAACACGTTTGAACAGGTAGTTTGAAAATATCTACACATCCAACTTGTATAGGAGAAGCTATAATATGAAATCTATCCTATAACAAACTAATTCCTCTGTAGCATTAAAATGTTCCAATTGCAGTAATCTAATGCACTTCAGTTAATTGCAAGAGAGCTCTTGATATCTCAGCAATTATTTAGATAGTAGCTCACCCATGCAGATTACAAGGATTCTTTTTCCTGATTGCTCCCTGGCAATCCCTGCCAGGAATTCATGTATTTTGGCCTGAAGCAATTACTATGTCTCCTTGAGGTCAAATATCCTTAATAATCACTGACCAATAATGACCAATTGGGCAAAGTACTAGAATGCAGCTAGTGCCTGTCACACTGTTCCAGCAAAAAAAAGTAGCTGATTTAGCAATGGTGAGCATTAAAGTAATATTTGAGACATTTTTATTATCAGAAATGCATTTTAAAAAATTACACAATTGTTTTAATAGCTCGTTAAACTGGGCTCAGTTCAGAACAGTATAATTGGGTCTTTGTGCAACTGGGTTGTGCAAAAAAAAACACAGCCAGAGTCAGGCTGCTAAGCATTACTGATAATTTTTGCAGGAACTGTCCACATGCTGATACAAGGTGAAGATAGTTATTGTAATAGTCAAGTTAATCTTAAATTAATCTTTTGGAAGAAATTATCACACTGAAAGCATGTTCTGTAATTTAAAAAGATGCAGAAGATGTCCAAAGTTTTGTGAAAGGTATGTTTGCACTGAGTCAAGTATATACACCTGCAGTCTGATGAATGGGGTAGAAATATCTGAAAAATGGCATGTTCATCTCCACTTCTACTTGTAAGTAATTTCTCCCTCTGTTAACATTGACTCATGTCGTGTAAAAAAAACTTTATTCCCAGGCTCACTGCTAAGCATCACTGAAGCTCTAGAAGATCTTTTGAGATTTGACATGTCAATGAGTTGTCTCTTCCACACTCTGGTCAACTATTTGGACTTCTACATTTCACACTTTCAACTTCAGTAACTAATTACTGTCAGTGTGATGTAATTCAATTTTAAAGCTAGGACCTGATTAGTAATTCTCTTAAACTTTAGACTTCACCAACCTTTTGTAGTTGGGCTGAGAGATGGGAGGGCTTGTAAACTGACTGAGGAGTGTACCAGCAGGCAAATCTGACATCTTCCCTCTGCCTTGGGCACAACTGGAATGCCTGGCAACTAGGCAGCCAATGTGGCGATTAAGGGCCCAGTGAAAGACCAACTCCCATCACCACCGATATTTTAACAAAATGGACTAAAAGGGAGACCACAAGGGCCTCTTAGTGGGTTCTGGAATGGGAGGGTGTAGACAGTAGTCCTTCTTTATGATAGATCATGGCCCAATGAATGATCCCTCTGGTGACACCAACTGCCCCTGTGACCGTAGCCCTGGCCCCAGCTCATTACAGTAAGCTCAAACTTTGCTTCCTTCATCTTTTTTCTTGATTAGATAGTGGTCCTGATAGCAGCATTTTAATTATCCACTGCTGGTAAAAGGCTGCCCTGAGTCTTGCCATCAGGTGGTACAGGACCAACTCTCACTTCCTGTCCTGGCAATGAGAATTTTTCTATCATGGAAGAATTTAGCACTTTGTTTGCAACCTGGAAAAAAAGTCAGATCGAGAGGCAAATTGTCAGCCAGCATGCAAATGAGGGATAGAGATCGAAAGATCTGGGGTGCAATTGTAGGCCTTCTATGCAAGAAGGTAGGAACGATTGGAAGGCTGCATCCTACTATGTATATATAATTGAGTAATAGTTGATCTCATGTAAAAGTTGACCCCTGACCTTTGGGCAAATAAACCAAATAACTTTTACTTATTAATTGCTCACTACTGAAGTCAAACTTTAACTGGTGCTAATCTTCTCAATAACAGAATCATAGAATAGCACACCAATGAAGTTGGCTCTTTGGCTAAAGTTGATATGCACAGGCATATGCTATTCATGATCATCACCTGACTGGTCTTTGGTGAGGTCACACCATTCGCACCTTCTGAAGAGACAATTTTGCATAAAGAAAAAACATCAGATACACAGGCCAGTTCGAATTTAAAGCTGGTGAAACTGCAGAGCAAATAAATAATTGAGCAATTCAACAATTGAAACTCCTCTCACCCCACCCCTTGATACCAACCCAAAAAAAGACTACTTTGCACACAGCTCTTCGAGACTGTGCAGTCTGGACCTTCAGCAATGCTCCCCAGCTCCCTGAGGCTGTTGGTCCCCGACTGGCTGGCACCCTGAGTCAGGGAGGGTCTTCAGTGGTGACTCTCCTGATTGGGCAAGAAACTTGCTAGACAAGTGTGCTATTCTATGATTCTGTGGATGAGAAGGTTAGCACCAGTTTATGTTCGACTTCAGCAGTAATTAGTAAGTACAAGTTATTTGGGTTATTTCTCCAAAGGCCAGGGGTCAATTTTTACTTGAGATCATCTATTGCTCAAATATATATATACACTGTGGGACGCAGCCTTCCAATCTTTCCTACCTGCTTGTCTAAAAGGCCTATGATTGCACCCCAGATCTTCTGATCTCTACCCCTCATTTGCATGCTGGCTGACAATTTGCCTTTCAATCTGCCTCAGTACTTATTTGGTGCTTGATCAGGTCAGCGTTCTTGCTGGTGGAATGGGGATTAAGTGCTTAGGGCAACACTTGGCACACAGAGCACTAAACCTACACTGAAGTCTCAGGCACTTTTGACTTTTATACAAGAATATACATTAATTGTGGACTCTTGTGATACAGCAGCAGTGTCCCTACCTCTGGGCCAGGAGGCCTGAGTTTAAATTCCAACTGCTTCAGATGTGTAATACAACATGTCAGAACAGGCTGATTAGAAATATCTAATGTTAATTGTCGGGAGTTGCGAAGCAAATATTCTGTAAGGGCATCTTTATTCAGGATGCAGTAGTTTTCAAGTCCCTTCAGCCACTGGGTGTCCGAAAACCAAGAAAACATGATGTGAGTTAACTTAAAAATAGCACATTAAATAGGCGGCATTAAATATTTAAATCTTTTGCCTGCCTAACTTGTCCCATCTCTATATAAACTGAAGTTAATGGTTAGAGTCATGATTCAGATTAACATTTTAACATCTCACATGATCCAACCCACCCAATTTTGGATTTCTCCCCTTAATGTTTCACTAATGTATCATAAGGAAAGGAAATTCCTTTTAACAAGCATTCAACTTGAACTATTTGCAAACCTCACTCAGGTGGTATTAATATTTACTTGTGAGATAAAGCTACGGATGCCCTGCAGCCATACTAGTTTGAAAACACACAATCTCGTCTGATCTCGCAAGCTAAGCAGACTGGGGCCTGGTTAGTACTTGGACGGGACACTGGCTAAGTTTACCAGGTGGGGAAGAAAAAGGCCCTCTTGTGGCACAGTGGCAGTGTCCCTACCCCTGCACCTGGAGGCCCAGGTTCAAGTCCCACCTGCTCCAGCGATACATAATAACATCCCTAAACAGGTTGATTAAAATATTTTTAAAAAACTACAGTTGCTGACCACATCACCATCAAGTGAAATCCTATTCTCCCCTCATAAAAATACATGCAGTTCCTGCAGAGATCACGCATAATGATTAGGAGCACATTATTGTCTGATTTTTCCTTGCCTAGCCCAGTGGCACAAATTGACCTGAACAGATCAGTATATTCAGTACAAAATGCAGGTTGAACTTGGAATGGTTCATTATTTGTGGTTTGTTAAGCCATTTTTTTTTTAAAGCACAAAACAAACAAACAGATACAAAAGAAGCTTCAGCTAAAACTCACCTCCTGTTCCCAGAACTTTCAGTAGCTCAAAGTTTTCTAATCCAACTCTTTCTCTATGTCCAGTGAGGTTAGCTGCCAATTAAAAGTACAGGATGAAAATAGCAATATAGAACACAGCAATTCAGTTATTCACAAAAAAAAATAAATGTGGTAAGACTGTTGATCCATTTTTCCCCACACTGTTATCAAGATGGAAAACTTTCTCTTATGAAATGTGAGGTATTGACATACACCATCCTCAGAATACATTTGCTTTATGACCCAGGTTCTGGTCTATGATTTTCAAGTAGGAGTTGCATTTAAAGATTTATATGGTGTTCCATGTGGAGATCTAAACTGTGGGGATATTGAGAACAGAGCCTGAATTCAATGTAATCAAGGCAGAGACTGGCTCAAAAGGTAAAACCATCAGGAAGGGAAATAACTTGGAGTAAGGAAACTGCTATGAAGGCCAAAAGTAACAGATGATAGGAAGGGCTCTCCATAGTCAATAATACTACAAATTAGAAGACACAGAGCAGACACAACTTATAGCTCCTGCTTTGTGCAGAATTGACCATGGGATGTAATTACATGAATTTTGATGAGCCTTTTTCTATATTTCTGTCCAAACTCAGCTATATATCACCAAACTCAACTGCCAACTGGGCAGAGTTCTCAACGCAATTAAAATAAACATAATTCATGCTATTTAACTTTAAAAAGCACATCATCCAAACTCACTGCTATGTCACCGACATCCTGCCCTCTCAATGGTTTCCTATTACATCACGGAAGGTCAGCGTCACTATCTGCTAAACCTGCTCAAATGACATTATGCTCTGCATCATCAGTCAGTAGTAAAATAGTCCGTGGCATCTGCACTACCAAAGGTACCTAGAATGATGGTGTCAACTGCGGTCCTTCTCAACTCCCACCTCAATCTCATTCTGAAATATGGTTTGGTGGAGGCTAAGAATGGCATGACCATGGTTCTTCTGCTTTCCATCAGAATTGCCACTTACCTCGGACCAATCCTCCCCTTATACATCCAGATTCCCTAGAGGTGGTGTTGGCAGGACAGCTTTAGGTCAACTAGGATTAAGAGGAAGATAAACTTCATGGCAGCAATGAATAGTCACCATCACTTGATCTGACACCCACAGTCATTGCAGTTACCAGCACTGCATGAACTTCAGAGCCTAATCTTGAGTCAGAATCTGTGTTATTCAGCCATCGGGCAAGACTGCACTACAGCCAGGAACTTTGCCAAATCCCCAGAGGGTGAGGTATCAAGTATGTTACGATGTTGCAGAGAACTCATGATGATTTTGAAAGGGCAACATAAAAATGGAATGCAGATGATGATGGACAAAAAAGAAGTTTGGTGTATTACTGTCAAAGAGCTTAGTGGAACCTGGCTCTGGTGTGACAGAGCTTGGAACCTACCCTTTCCAATTTCCACATGGTGATGGCTAATTGCATAGTAGCACTAGTGCACAAATCCATGGAGCAATTCCATTGCAACACGAGAAAAAAAGCCTCCCATTGTCTCAGTGATCTAGTGGTAACTGAAATCAAGGTCACAAGATCCAAACTTGGCTGCATTGCAAGTTCACACTCGACACCATGGGTGCAGATCTCCATGCTCAAACAGGTCCATATTTTTTAACAGCAGTCCAGCAACCTGCCCTTCAGCAAATTACCAAGACTGGTGAGCTGCCACCATGTGACAGCAGGAGCGACAGAGTGACCTCAACACGAAGACATTCATCGTATCCAATATCCTGTAACCTCTCAGCCAGCCAAAACTGCTCTACCCATGGTAAAGGTGGCGCAATCTGAATCTAGGCCCTCAACGCCTAAAGATGCTTGACTGCATCATGGATGGTCATTCACAATTCCGCACACACAAAGTCAGCAGACTTTCACAGACATATCACAATCACAGAGATAGCATTGCATTGGAGCACTAGGACAAGGAACCACACCTCCAAGACAGGCACAAGAGCTACTGTTGATGGAATTAGATGGTGTTGTAAGATAAAGATGCTTTATGCAGATTTGTGTTTGTCCTTCATTTAATTAATTTATTGAATGTGGGCATTATTAGCTGGGTCAGTATTTATTGCCCATTGCTAGTTGCCTTTGAGAAGGTGGTGATGGTAAGCTTTCTTCTTGAACTGCTGCAATCCATTTGGCGGAGGTACGTCCACAATTCCATGCAAGATGGAGTTTCAGGATTTTACCACACCAACTCTGAAAGAATAGATATATATTTCCAAGTCTAGATGGTGAGTAGTTTGGAGGGGAAATTGAAGGTGATGATGTTCCCATGCAACTTCTGCCTTTAATCTTCTGACAGAATTGGTTATAGGTTTGGAAGTGCTGTCTAAGGAGCCTTGACGAACTACATCAGTGCATCTTGTAGATAGTACACATTGGTGCTACTGTGCGCTGGTGCTGGAGGGAGTGAATACTTGTGGATGTGGTGCCAATCAAGTGGCTGCTTTGTTCTGGATGGTGTCAGGCTTCAGTGCTGTTGGAGGTGCACTCATCCAGGCAAGCGGGGGACATTCCAGGACAGAGATAACAAGGTGTAGAGCTGGATGAACACAGCAGACCCAGCAGCATCAGAGGAGCAGGAAGGCTGATGTTTTGGAGAAGGGTCTAGGCCCGAAACGTCAGCCTTCCTGTTCCTCTGATGCTGCTTGGCCTGTTGTGTTCATCCAGCTCTACACCTTGTTCTCTCAGATTCTCCAGCATCTGCAGTTCCTACTATCTCTGGAACATTCCAGGACAGTCTTGATTTGTGCCTTGTAGACGGTGGACAAGATTTGAGGAGTCAGGAGTGGAGTTACTCACTGCAGGATTCCTAGCGTCTGACCTCTTATAGGGGCAGTATTTACAAAGCTCAGTTCAGTTGTTTTGAATGATAACACCCCAATGTTGTTGCGGAGGATTCAGCGATGGTAAAGACTTGACTATCAAGGGATGATGCTTAGATATCCTCTTGTTGGAGACGGTCATTGTCTGGCAATGTGTGGTGGGAATGTTATTTTCCAATTGTCAGCACAAGCCTGGATAATGTCTAGGTCTTACTGTATTTGGGCACAAATGGCTTCAGTATCTGAGGAGTCAAATTAGAGCTGGAAGTTGGGTAAGCAGGCAGTGTGATCGGATGGAATGGTGTTTGCTTGGTGAAGTTAATTCAGTGGAAGTAGATTCTCAATACGCTTTCTTAAATGTGTACAGTTGCATGGAATCCATAGTGCCTCCTCCTTTTCCCAAGATAGCCTTCCTAATAATAACTGAATGGACGTAATAGTCAGGACGAAGCAGATTACCACAATCTTGGAGATCTTGTTTGCCATGCACTGTGCAAGCCCCCCGAACATTTTTGGCAGTGGAAGCATGATTTCAGGAAGTTTACTGCCTGCTCTATTAGGTATGAGTTACTCCATGGTTTTTAATTATAAGTCTGCTTGAGTTGTGAGATAGCAGAAGGGAACCCTAAGACATATATAATATGTAATTTTGTCTCTCAGCAGTCAGTCTCCAGCTCTTCTGGAAGGCCCAAAGATGGTGGGTAAGACAAGCCGGTGCAGAATGGGAAACATCATGGCATGCATCCACAAAGATGAAAGCTTTACTGCAGCCACACAATAATGGAATGCTAGATCATCTTTTGATGAAAAGTTGGCATGTTGCTTGGTATAGTTTGTTTTAAAAAAACAGGTTTCAAAAACACTAAAGACATTTTCAGGTTTATGAAATTGGAAGTTTAACGGCGCACCAGTTCTAAATACTTTGCAGACTTGTTGACTCTGTGGTGGCTTTTGAAGCAGGGATCCACAATGGAAAATTTACTTGACAAATCCAATGTCCTTTCTGGTAAAAGATGATCCATCAATCCAAAAAACGTGAGCTGCCCTGGCCTGCTTCAATCAGTTTGAATTTGAATTAAGCAGCAGACATCACTGGTCAGAACCATAAGCTGAAGAAATTTTAATTTAAAATTATTGGCTAACTTGTATTAAGAGGTTCAAATTAAGCAATTAATTTCCAATGGAAGGTAGTTTGATTTAAATCAATAATTTTAAGCTGCTTTTATTCAGAGCAAGAATAATAGATTGCAATTGGATACTTTGTAAATGCATTAATATTTCTGCTTTATACAACATAAAGATAACGTATGATTTTGAACATTATTGATTATGCGTGGGTAGGAATTCTAAAAACTCTGATTGGATGACAGAAAGTTAACAGGTTATCTGATTGCATAAAGTATAGATTTCACATTACTACTGATGAATACAATAGAACAGTGGCAGATGGAATTTAACCCCAATAAATGTGAAGTGATGCACTTTAGAAGGTTAAAAATTTGTCTGCCTCAGCCTCGAATATATTTAACAACACAGCCTCGACAGCCTTCTGTGGTAATGAATTCCACAGATTCACTATCCTGAGAGAAGAAATTCTGCGTCATCTCCATCTTAAGTGGGCATTCCCTTATTCTGAAAAGATATTATTCCTGAAGGAAAAGGGATCCTATCTTTCCATTTTGCATTCAGTAGACCTCTGGTCCAAATACAGATATCAGATCTTAATTAAATCCTCCATTTTCTTATAGAATGGCGTAGGTAGGTGCAGGGTAGCTAGGCCAGTGTTGAGGTAAGATCACTGGTCCCAGACTTTCCCACAAGAGGAAACAAACTCTCTGCATCTACATTATCAAGCCCCCTAAGAATATTTAATATTTTAATAATGTTCTCCCTCATTCTCCTGAACTCCAATGAATACAAGGTCAACCTACGTAACCTCTCAAAAAAATTGCTCCATACCCAGAATCAAATTAGTGAATCTTCTCTGGATTGCTTCCAATGCAATTATGTATTTCCTTTGGTAAGAAGACCAAAACTATTTGCAATATTCAAGATCGGACCTGACTAGTGCTTGGCACAGTTTCAGCAAAATCTTCCCATTTTTATATTCCATTCTCTTTGAAATGAAAGGTCAACATTCCATTTGCCTTCCCTCCTAACTGCTGAACTTGGATGCTGGGTCTTTGTGATTCACGTGCAAGGACC